AGCGCGGCGTTGGCGTCGCCTCTGACGAGCCCTCTTCGTCAGAGTTGGCGAACTTCGATCGAACGACTCCTTAATTAGGGTGGAATCATTATGAGCAGAGCTTCCGGCTTTGGGGGTCGCCGGGATAATGTTGCGAGGCAAGGCCTCAACAATGATTGGGCGAGAGTCTTCACTTTTAGTCTTCTTTGGCGTATAAGCCTTCTTCAATGATGAGATCCTATTGTACTTGCGAGATAATGAAGATCTTGAAGAGGATGACGAGAGATATTCCTCAAACTTGGTTTGGTCAAATTCGTATTCGACCGTGGATTCAACTGGAATCTTGATCGGCTGCGACACGACGGTCTCGGCAGCGAGACCGTTGGCTCCCACTATGGTCGCCAGCTTGTTTACGTCAAAAGTTGATTTCATTGTGGAATTCATTATATCTTCGGTCGATTACAACAAATTCAAAAGAAATAGTCTTTTTATAAGACTTCTTTTACACAACAAAAGAAAAATTACAACTTTTTAGAAACAAACGCAGGATCGTTGTTTGGATCGCTGCTTGCGTGGACTCGTGGACCACCGATTCACAGATTCTGATTGAATCGTGAAAGTTTTGGGGATTCTTCCTTCGTTTATCGAAGTAAGAATCTTTAAGCGAATATCTTATCGATGTAAGATGTTCGCTCTTCCAAAGATCAAGTCAGAGCTTAGATCTCTAGGAATCGCTAAAAGCTTCTTGAGAATGTTTGTGAAGAAGGAAGACTCTCTCTCTTGAGCAAAATCAACAAAAGCTCAAGTCTTTTCTGCTCCAATCTGCTCCCTCCCTCCCTTTTATTTCGTGTTTAGGGAGGTATTTATAGGGGTAGGAATGCACAACAGTCGAAATAGAGGCGAAACAACTGACCAGATGAACCCTCTTTGGCCGCGGCAGCCAACACTGCCGCGGCTATTGGCGCGGCAGTGTGGACTGCAGCGGCCACATGGGCGGTTTACCAGCACGTTCCATCCGTGTGCTTGAGAACTGGTTCTCCCACGGACCCTTTAACCACCTTCTTTTCGTCGGTCTTTAACCGCTTGTCCACGTCAGCACACGTTCTATCTCTTGATATGGCCGCCCACGTGGGCTTTCCAAATAATCATCATATAACTGTCTTGTAACCACCATAGCACCTATAATAGCGCTGCCCCTACCCTACGGCTTGCCGCGCTCTATAGCCGCGGCCACCATATGCTGCCGCGCCTTAGCCGGCGGACATAGGCTGCCGCCACCCTTAGCGCGCGGCCACCGATGCGGCTGCCGCGTTTTAGCCGCGGCACCATGTCCTGCCGTGCCTCAACCGCGCCGCCGTGTACTGCCTGTTGGTGTGTACATTGTTCTTCCATGTTGTCTCGCTTCCTTTGAATGATCCCCCTGATTAAGAGAATGGCGTTTATCGTCTTCTCTTTGCCTTGAGTGGTATTTGGATGTCTGTAAGCATTTTTTGACGCCTACAGTTGTCCCTCCCCCTTTCAGGTAACGAGCCAGGAGCCCGGAGAGTCGCAGGTTGACGGCGATGCATTTTAGCTTCAGCTGCCTAGCTAGTTATATATTTTCTTTTGGAGTTCCACAGTAGACTTGTGTTTAGACATTTGAGAGTCTTGTTCTAGAAGTTGTAAAGGCTGTGTGCCTTATTTCCTTCTGGTCAGATATTTGTATTTGAGACTTGTTGAGTATTCCAGTTTATCTACTCAGATCTTGACTATATGTTTCTGTTTGTTGGATGATGAGACATTAAGTTGATTATTATCATTTCATCAGTCTTCTTGTATTATCTTTTACTTGCTTTTGTACCTATACCTGTTGTTGACTCTACTAGATAGATGTTTATTGTGATGGTGAAACATGTTGTTGCACGGTGTGGTGCATGGCAGGTTTGACATTCTTGGTTTCACCTTGGACTGCAGCCTTGTGTGAACCCAGTGGCGTCACATATATATAGGCTCATCGCCTACTGATGGTATTATCAGACCCTCTTTTAGGGCCAGAGGCATGCATTTTCTGCATCCGTAAACTAAGAACGTATTTAGTTTATTGGTTTCTTCTCCACTCAAGCTCAAATACTGACTTGACCGTCTGAGGAATCATCGAAGAATCCATTTTTGATCCTAACATGCCTATTTTGCAGCTCATTCATCTTAAATAGGGGATTGGCCACCTAAAGATGAGGGAACCCACATCGCAAATATTCACTCCCAGCATCGTCGCTAATATGGGATTACATGCTAATCTCGCTGTTGAGTCTCAGAACATCAACAAATAACCCCTAATAGTGCCTGTTTACTATTTTCAAGATTATGTATGTAATTTTTTAGATTTTTCAAATCGTTGTTTATAGTTTTTCATATTTTAAAAGTGGTTGTTTGTAATTTTTTTTTATTTTCATAGAGAGCTATTTGTAATATTCAAAAAAATTTGGTTAATTATTTGTTTTTTATATTTTTAGGGTGCTCTTTCAACTTTTAAATTTTTCAGAGGACTTTTATGATATTAGCATTTTCAAGAGCCCTTTGTATTTTTTGTTTTTAAAGGACCCATTTGTAGTTATTGGAGTTTTAGGGGGTTTTCTATAATTTTAAAATTTTAAGGGGGCATTTTGTTTTTTAGGTTTTTCAATGACTTTTTTTTGCTGCAACTTTTACAATTTAAAGTTTTTATTTTAGTTTGAAATTTTCAAGTGGTTTCTTATAGATTCATATTTTTGGATGATATATTTGTAATTTGTATTTAAATAGTTGTTTGCAATTTTATGGGTTAATCTACAAATAGGAATGATTCTAGCGGTATATATTAGCCTTACAGGATAATATTCATCATTTTAAAATTATTGGTGATGGTGATGTTGTTATGATGAAACCTATAACTTTTGTATATTTTTGTATTATGTGGGTTATAGGGTATTTATGGTACACCTCATATTTGGTACTGTAAATATTCTGCCCAGTAGGTTATTCTCGGGAGCAGGCGTCATAGTAAATTAAATTAGAAACTACCTAGGACTGAGTGTCACAATAAATTAAATTAGAAACTATGCTTGTAGCTCCGAAGTCGGAATCCCTATTTTTATATAAAAAGTTTTTAAGTCTGCGTTTTTCTTGAATATCTGTTTTCTCGGTAGAACAAGTCGAGAATTACGGTCAATTTGGATACAAAGGAGGGACGGGGAGGGGAGTGATTGACTTAACCCAAGGGGAGGAAGTGGAAAGAAAAAGGGTAGAATGTATTTATTTGTGATTGGTTAGAGAACATGGGGACGAGAGAGTACACTATAATATGTGTTTGTTTTTAGAGTATGGGATGGGAACGGAAGAGAGTTACTTGACCAGGGCAATATTAAAGTTAAAAAAAAATTCCACTTGACACCCCTCCCCTCTCCTCTCAATCCGTCCACTTTTGGAAGATTGAGAAAGTGAGTGAATTTTATAATTTTCATCCCTCCCCTCCCCTTGCTAACTAAAAAGTGTAAGCAAACACAATGTTAGGAGGGTTAGCATTGTAACCGCCCCTCCTGAAGAACTCTATCCAAACCTAGTTTTAATCAAGAAGAAGTTATGAGGAAAAGGACACGGTTGTGATTTAAAAAAATAGAAAACAGATTAATTAAATACGAACGGGCCGAAATGTCCTTCGTAATTTTTTCAGCTAATCTTCGTTATTATACAAATCATTCTCCCTTTAAAAGAGGGAGTATGAGAAAAACTTTTCCTACCCCAAAATACCCTTCATCTATCATAAATTTAATAGAATTATATTTTTTTTAGTATTTTTCTTACGTTACTCCAAAACAGAAATCAAAAGCCCTAAACAATCTGTTACCGTATCTATCGCCTCTGTTCATTCATCTCCTTCAAAAATCTTCAACACCCTCTCCAGCAAAAAAAACCTAATGGCAGAAAAAGAAAAAAAGCAGAAGAAATCGGAGAAAATGAAAACTTTAAGAGAAGTTGTAGATCGACGACAGCCGAACCCGGGAGTTCCCTGCGGCCTCTCGTCTTTCTCTCTCCTCCAGGGTTTCCTCTGATCACCCACCAAATCCCAAAAAACTCAAATCCCAAATTAAATCGCCCCTAAAATCTGGTAGTCTCCCGTCTCCTCAAAACCTCACTCCCCCAAATTCATCAAAAAACCCTAGAAAACAAAAGAAAACCCAACAAAATCAAACAAAAAATGAAGCATAAATCTCCAAAGCTCCGACACACAATGGTCTGCACCTCGAACCAGAATCGAAGCATGGAAGCCCACTCCCTCCTCCAGCGCCATGGCTTCGACGTCTCCTCCTACGGCACTGGGGTACGCGTTAAGCTCGCCGGTCCATCGTACCGAGAGCCCAACGTCTACGAATTCGGAACTCCTTATCACAAGATGTACGATGACCTCCTCCGCAAGAACCCTGAATTGTGAGTGGAAAGCCGATTTTGGCCCCTACATTTTTTCGTATTTACTGTTTTTACCATTGTAAAGTTGGGACTTTTGTGGAGTTTTTAGGTACAAGCGTAATGGGATCTTGCCGATGTTGAAGAGGAATATGAGTGTGAAGCTAGCGCCTCAGTGCTGGCAGGATAATGCTGCTGATGGCCCGTTTGATGTTGTTCTCAGTTTCAAAGATAGGGTTTCCGATGTGATCATTGATGGTTACTGGGTTTTTTTTAGTTTTGTTTTAAAGCTGATACTTTGCGATTGGGTTTTGAATTTGATTGATTTATATGAGTTTCAATTTGGAGTTTTTATTTGAATTAGTGTGCAATTCTGAGCTTTGATAGTTTTTAGAACTTGCTCTTGTGAGATAATGACAATTACAATTTCAGATTTTGTAATCATACCTAAGGGTATTAGCTGAAATTGGATTGAAAAAATGCCTAGAGATGTAACCGTCTACGACTGGGTTTTACTTGATAATAAGGGTTGGAGATCGAACTCCAGCTTCGGTGTGGAGACATTGCGAAGGTTTCCTTCGTATTAAAATAAAAAAACAAAACGAAAACTTCGTATTAAAACTTCAAGAGAAAATGAAAACTTTGTTGCAGTTGCATTTAGACTGAATGACTTAAGGCGCACTGGCTATATTGAACGTGTCGAGGTAGAATCTTAATTGGCTACTTTGTGATCTTCTTCTATTTTGTATGAAGTCATTCTATGAAAGTAACCTTGTATTCTTTATTGCTCTCAACAGTTAAAAGAGATGGTGCTGGCTCTTTTCAGTGAATCAGATTTATGCCTTTCTGATGATGTTGTTGATCAAATAGTCGATAAGGTGAGGATTTGTCTTTTCTGTTCGCATTTTATTGCCGCAACATAGTGACATATACAATTGGTTTTTCGAGGATTTCAATTATTTCTTTTCTTTTACAGACTTTCATGGAGGCAGATAAGAAGGGTGATGGAAAGATAGATCTGGACGAATGGAAGGAATTTGTAGATATAAATCCATCATTGCTGAATAACATGACTCTTCCATACTTAAAGTAAGTCTTTTATCCTTCTATATTAAATCCTCAAGTTGCATAAGTTTAAGGTGCCTTATCCTTCTATTAAATCCTCAAGTTGCATAAGTTTAAGGTGCCTTATTGTTGCCCATTATTTTCTACAAATAATATTTCATAAAGTTAATATAATTTAGTGCTTATTTATTTCTCTTTGGTAATGTGCACGTACAATGACACACTTTTCTAAATCTAGAACAATGTTTTGTTACTTGTGGTTGCTTAATTATTACTCATCCTTTCTCAATAAATGAAAACAGAGTCCTCAGTTAATAATGCTTCAATAAGCTACACTGTTCCATGTTCTCAAAAGCAAAATCAATCCCCTTGAACTTTGTGTGAATATTCAATCTTACATAATGTACATAATGCATTTTGTAATGCTGTTAATAGCTGAAGCAACCCCCTTTAACTTTTTGCCTTCTTCATCGTATTCACTCTAAACCTTGTTAGGCCTTGGAAAATCACATGCTTATGCTTGATCAAACAAGCGCACTACGTTCCAAATATGTTCAAATATCACGGATATTAATCTCTGAATAATTCATGTTTGGATATGATTTGTTAAGGACACATGTTTCGTTCTTCGAGAATGAAACAGGGCGTCAATCATTTGATTTTCCTGATATTTCATGTTTGGGTATGATTTGTTGAGGAGGATATCATGCATTATGACCTGGCATAATTTTATTAGGGGAAAACTTCACAAAACCACCATGAACTTTGGGGCTTTTGCACAAAACTATCTTAAAACTTTTTTTTAACGGAGAAATCAAAGTTAAAACTGCAGAAAACCAAAGTTAAAGCATTGAAATTATTATTAGGTAACTCAATTCTTAAGTTATTTGAAATTAGTCATTCAAATTAATGGTATAATTTGCAAATTGAGGAAAAGTTGAATTTAGGCCAAATTTTAGAACCACCCACCCACCCACACAAACTTCCGATGATTATGAAGTGATCCAAAATAAATATCAAAATAATTAAAATTTGGTAAAGGAAATAGTCATTGTGAACATGATATGTGCTCATGCCACTGCCATTAATGGTAATTACCAAATGTTGTTTTCCTTTGCCTTGTGTAGCTCATCATTATCTTTTATGAAGGGTAAAGAATATTGTTCCCTCTGATTGTTTTTCTTTTAGAATCAAAGAAAAATGCCTTCAGAACCTGTGAAAGAGTTTCTTTCTTCTTTTATTTCTTCATCTAATCCACAGTATTTCCTGAGCATGTCAGTCAGTTTGATGATTGACCTTAATGTGTATATAGACTCCATATTCTTTGCGATTTACTATTTTTTTCTTTCTGTTGGCTGCTTGTTGAGTGCTAAAGAGATGAAAACTTTTAACTAACCGGATGTAGCTTTCTCTTAGTGCTGCTTCTCACTCTTGTTAGTTTGAACAATTTTCTCATATGCCTGCGTTGTTGAGAGAACCAAACTCTACAAAAATCTTTAGTAGCCATTCATGAGCATATGACACGTCAAACATTACCGAACTTCTGAGTGTCTGACTTTTAGTCTATGGTCAAAGAATGTAGCTTTTTTCTTCTTCATATTCTTAGTTTAATACAAAATTCTGAATCCCGATGTACTTGGCTCGGATCTAGCTTGCAAGTCTGAAATCTGCATAAAACATTGGTGGATAATCTTTTGTTATGTATTTTATTTTATTTTATTTTACTTTTTCTGACCTTGTCACTTTAAAACTAATTATATTATTAAACTGATCAAAGAATAATGAATTAAAAGTTCAGATATACTTCTCATTTGAACGTAAGGGATGTCCTTAGTATTAGTTATCTCAGGCTATCAACATGCATTTAGTTTCCATAAAGAAGAATTTGGTTGAGTTATAGCACTGTCCTTTTGGTTAGAGCTTCTCTGGAACAAACTGTTTTGTTAATGCATTCTCTCGCTTATGATCAATGTGATCAAGGTGATGGTCATCGTCATCATTTATTACTACAAAACAAGTTAAACAGTGTAGAAATTTTTGGTTCGCTTCACTGTTATTACTTGACAAATTAAGGAAGACTGCAACTCCATTATCATTTTGAAACTGTAAAAATAACTGATTCCTATATTACCAAAGCGCACAACTGTGCACAACTGCTCAAATCTGATTCATGAATTTCACTGGATTATCATCTTTACACTTTCATTTTGGGAGGGGAAAACTTTCAGCTTAATGATGCTATCTCTATTGTTAGTACTGCTTTTATTACCGAAGCTTGCTGCTTTTGTTGCCGAACATTGCAGTTATTGGTGAGAAAAAGATGTTCATTTTGCATCCATTTTTATTTCAGGTGTGCTGCCAAAGTATTTTAGTTCTGAGTGGTCATTTGCTCAGTTCCACCTACCAGAAGCCACGCGCTACACTGTTGCATTTGGAGCTCAAAATACTGTAATCATTATTGGTCTGGATGGTAGGTATTACTCCTTTTCTTGAGTCAAATTTTATTTAATTCCAAATATTTTGATGTCTTCTTTTTCTACAAATATTTTTTCAATGTGGCTTTTTACAGCAAATAACGGATAAATAGGGCACTTTCAGATCTTTTTTGTTTTTCTGTTTTCCCTCTAATGTTTGTTTTTCTTATCTTACTCTTTAAGTGTACACTTCATGTCCTTGTATTCTGAGCTCACTTTGGACTTGACTAATAGATATTAGTAACTAGAATACATCAGTTGATGTTTCAGTCATCGTAGAAATTTGCACCTCTACTTTTCTTGCAGTTCTCACAAAATTCAGGGAATTGTTTGCGTAGATGGTCACAGTCGATTTATTTACCTGGGAGTAATATTCAGCAATACAGCGCTATGTTAATGAAATATTGTTTTTTAACCAAAACTTTGCGCGGGTTAACGATCAGACCTGAAATGATGAAGTTGGGAACTTCGTTTATGTCTTTTTTGACGTAATTCTTATTTTCTGAGGACGATAGGTTTGAAATGGAGAGAAGTTAAAAGCTGGAAAGGAATTTAATTCACTGAATAAAATCGGTTTGAGTTTGGAAAGAAAAGGCTTCAGCTGTCTAGCTAGTTATATATTTTCTTTTGGAGTTCCACAGTAGACTTGTGTTTAGACATTTGAGAGTCTTGTTCTAGAAGTTGTAAAGGCTGTGTGCCTTATTTCCTTCTTGTCAGATATTTGTATTTGAGACTTGTTGAGTATTCCAGTTTATCTACTCAGATCTTGACTATATGTTTCTGTTTGTTGGATGATGAGACATTAAGTTGATTATTATCATTTCATCAGTCTTCTTGTATTATCTTTTACTTGCTTTTGTACCTATACCTGTTGTTGACTCTACTAGATAGATGTTTATTGTGATGGTGAAACATGTTGTTGCACGGTGTGGTGCATGGCAGGTTTGACATTCTTGGTTTCACCTTGGACTGCAGCCTTGTGTGAACCCAGTGGCGTCACATATATATAGGCTCATCGCCTACTGATGGTATTATCAGACCCTCTTTTAGGGCCAGAGGCATGCATTTTCTGCATCCGTAAACTAAGAACGTATTTAGTTTATTGGTTTCTTCTCCACTCAAGCTCAAATACTGACTTGACCGTCTGAGGAATCATCGAAGAATCCATTTTTGATCCTAACATGCCTATTTTGCAGCTCATTCATCTTAAATAGGGGATTGGCCACCTAAAGATGAGGGAACCCACATCGCAAATATTCACTCCCAGCATCGTCGCTAATATGGGATTACATGCTAATCTCGCTGTTGAGTCTCAGAACATCAACAAATAACCCCTAATAGTGCCTGTTTACTATTTTCAAGATTATGTATGTAATTTTTTAGATTTTTCAAATCGTTGTTTATAGTTTTTCATATTTTAAAAGTGGTTGTTTGTAATTTTTTTTTATTTTCATAGAGAGCTATTTGTAATATTCAAAAAAATTTGGTTAATTATTTGTTTTTTATATTTTTAGGGTGCTCTTTCAACTTTTAAATTTTTCAGAGGACTTTTATGATATTAGCATTTTCAAGAGCCCTTTGTATTTTTTGTTTTTAAAGGACCCATTTGTAGTTATTGGAGTTTTAGGGGGTTTTCTATAATTTTAAAATTTTAAGGGGGCATTTTGTTTTTTAGGTTTTTCAATGACTTTTTTTTGCTGCAACTTTTACAATTTAAAGTTTTTATTTTAGTTTGAAATTTTCAAGTGGTTTCTTATAGATTCATATTTTTGGATGATATATTTGTAATTTGTATTTAAATAGTTGTTTGCAATTTTATGGGTTAATCTACAAATAGGAATGATTCTAGCGGTATATATTAGCCTTACAGGATAATATTCATCATTTTAAAATTATTGGTGATGGTGATGTTGTTATGATGAAACCTATAACTTTTGTATATTTTTGTATTATGTGGGTTATAGGGTATTTATGGTACACCTCATATTTGGTACTGTAAATATTCTGCCCAGTAGGTTATTCTCGGGAGCAGGCGTCATAGTAAATTAAATTAGAAACTACCTAGGACTGAGTGTCACAATAAATTAAATTAGAAACTATGCTTGTAGCTCCGAAGTCGGAATCCCTATTTTTATATAAAAAGTTTTTAAGTCTGCGTTTTTCTTGAATATCTGTTTTCTCGGTAGAACAAGTCGAGAATTACGGTCAATTTGGATACAAAGGAGGGACGGGGAGGGGAGTGATTGACTTAACCCAAGGGGAGGAAGTGGAAAGAAAAAGGGTAGAATGTATTTATTTGTGATTGGTTAGAGAACATGGGGACGAGAGAGTACACTATAATATGTGTTTGTTTTTAGAGTATGGGATGGGAACGGAAGAGAGTTACTTGACCAGGGCAATATTAAAGTTAAAAAAAAATTCCACTTGACACCCCTCCCCTCTCCTCTCAATCCGTCCACTTTTGGAAGATTGAGAAAGTGAGTGAATTTTATAATTTTCATCCCTCCCCTCCCCTTGCTAACTAAAAAGTGTAAGCAAACACAATGTTAGGAGG